CAAGCGCGTGCACGACAAAAAGCAAAGAATATTGAAAGTTAAATTGCAGTAGAAAACACACGGACTGTACTGCACGTAAAAATATTGAAACCGATTAAAAAGGAAGGCAAGGAAAATAATGATCCATATAATATACAAATACAATTTTATAGAATTAATACAAGGCATTCTGTTGTACTTACTCTTCTCCCAGCATGGCTTTAACACAAGAGGTTTTCCCGGAGCCCTCTTGACCAAGAAACATCAGTCTTGAATTAACAACTGTTATTTCACCGTTTTTAAGTGCATCTTTGAATGCTTTGACGGCATCGGGACCCCTGGCTAAAATCTCTGATGGAGTTGATAGTTCTAATTTATATACAAACATAACAACAATATTTAGTATTTTCTTTTTTAATTATATTTTTGATTATTTACGATGAAATAAACCTCTTTACGATAATCAAAATGTGGAAATAGTAAATTAATTGTATAGAATTTCAAATTAAAAAAAAATAAAAGTCAAACGTAATACGGGTGTATGATAAGTACTGTTTTAAATAGAGTTTGAAGATTTGATTCCACAGATATTTAATAAGTCAATCAACGTACTTTCAAGTAATTCTTTTAAATCTCGTTTCTTTTTACTTCTCGTGGTTTCGTCGTATTCTGTACATTCGTTTTTATCATACACATCAAGAGGCGTCTTTCTATCCTGCAATAACAGACACGAGCACGCGATGATTCATTCCATTGCAAGACAATTAAAAACCAAATAAAAAGAAAGCAGTGATATATTTTAGTTAAATACTCAAAGATAATAATAAAACTAATAAAATATCTAACGAACACTCGACAATGTTATCATCACGACATTATAATTATGTTGTAAATTACCATCCAGTTAATTGATAATAAACATGATTAAACTCATACTTCTAAAACTTTTTAAAAATCAACATTATTACTCGTATGATTTTTTTTCGATTTAATTAGTAAAAATGTTTCAAGTAGTTTCATATACAGTTGTTGTATTAAGGTCATTGACTGATATTCTTTTGATGCATTTCATTTTTCTGTACATTACTTTATCTTTTATTGTCAGCGACGCGCCAAAGGTGATATTGATAATTGCGAGTTCCTTGTGTTGCTCGTGCGTCAGCACCTCCTTCTCTAGACAGTAATGTAGTGGTGTGCGTCCAAACTGCAATGAAATGATAATCAACGTCAAGTTTGTTGAACACGCACAACACAAGAATATCAATTAACAAATATTACGCAAACGTAAAAGTACCTGAAATAATTTATAACTATCATAATTTATTAACGCCTACCGGTAATAATAGTGATACTTCAGTAATATTATAATAATCATAATAATAATATTGATGATAATAATAATTTTGATATTAATTATTATTCATATTGTTAATGATAATTAAAAAAACCCAATAATATGGCAATGCAAGAATGAAGTAGGTACCTGAATTAATGATGATGGTAATAAATATTATGAAATTAATAATTATAGGATAATACATCACCTGTACTGTATTAATATTAATGGTAATAATATTGACAAAAATGTAGTAATGGATTGTGGTTTATTTTTGTTGTATTGATAAAACAAATAATAATGGTCAAGGTAGTCTCCCCTACTGAGCGGAAAATATTTCTCAGCCAGTTGTAAATAAAAAAAATCACATCTCAGTATTATAACCAAGAATATTACTAAATTAGAACGTGATGTATTGAATGTGTTTGTGAGTGAATTAATGTTAATTTGTTAGCAATGAATAAAGTGTTGTTTTCTTCTACTGTACTCACTCTGTCTTGCGTGTTAATCTTCTTGTTGGTTTTTTCCAACACGCGTCTCATTGCTGACACGCGTGCGTAGGCCGCCAAGTAATGGAGAATAGTGAGACCAAGAGGCTACAAGACAAACGTAGAATATGATGAGAAAGAAATAATAAACAACAACAAGAAACTATACACACACCACATATCAACAACACATAACAACTCACAAACATCACACATACATTACTTATTACATTCATCATTATTAAATACTAATTACATTATTTAATATTTTTAAAATGTGGTTTTTTAGGCGAAATCGCGCAAAAAATATTTGTATCAATTAGCCTATGTTTTACACACAATAGTAAAATATTTCCAAATCGGGAATTTTAGCGACAATACTTTTTGTGAAAAATATCAATTTTATTGTCACCAATTTATTCAGTAAACTGTATTAAACAGAACAAGTCCAAACATGACTATTTTTGTAAGTGTAAAATGTATTTTTTTCACAATATTTCATATGAATTAGTGATAGGCCTAATGGCCAGAGCATAGGCTTTTTCTGTGTTGTAAAAAATGTCAAAAATCATGAAATAAAAATCCCATTTTTAACCCAACATGAAAAAAATCACAGTAATTGACTTTGAGTTAATTGTATGTCGTATGATGTGTACACATGCTGTGTGCTTGTCATGTTTAAAATGCAATGATATTTAATTCTACTCACCTGGTGTTCTAAACACTCAACTGTTGCCGTTTCAATCATATTCTCCAACACATCATCTGGTGCGCCGAACCTCACAGCGTGTATTAATGGTGTCCACTCTAACTACGAAAACAAACATTACACTGAATTACGATACAGTTCATACAACTACAAACATTATTTTTTACGAGTTTCATAATTTAAATCGTACGATGATTTTCCAATATCATTTAGGAATTATTATATCATAGACAGTTAAAAATGTGTTTTATAATACACGCATCCATTTGAATTAATTTTATTTACCATCAATTTTTGGTCATTTTTTCATAATTATTAAGAGTTAAAATAAGAATAACAAATCACAATAATATTCTTTAGAAGTGATTTGGAAAAGGGAGTAGGGTTAAAATGTCTAAACATAAACGTTTAATTGTTGGGCCATGGTTTGTGTTTAGTATGTTTAAAAAATGATATTAACATGCCTATGTTTTGTCAGTACAGTATAGTAGGCCTTATGCCTTGTAAATTGTTCGTGCGTGAACTCTGT